TTTGCGTTTTTGTTTTTCCATTCTAAAACGATTTACATACATAACGCGGCAAAAAACAAGTCACTGCCTGTCTCTCGCTCTCACTAATATAAACAACTCGGCACGATTCGTGTTGCTGAGCGTGGAAGTTCGTTATAAACGGAAAGTGAATATACAACTGAACTAAAAAGTGATCGTTTATATCCGGAAGTTCGTTATAAACGGGTTTGTTATAACCAGTAAAAAAATACGTTGGTCTTTATGGACGACGTTTCAATTCAAGGAAAAAAGTTCGTTTTAACCGAAAGTTCACTATAACCGGTTTATTATGAGCGGACTTTACTGTACTTCCAAAGGTATATTTTCTTCGTAATTTAAAGCCTAGAAAAATAATAATTTACGAGTTGACTTCTAAAGTTGTTAACTAAAGCTTGGCTGTGTGGTTCTGGTATAGTGCCTGCTTCCCTAACAGCAATTAAATAATTTWGCTCCTCATTTAATATCTGCAAGCAAAAGAGGATCTTCTTCACTCATATTTTTTGCCATATTATATAGAACTTYAGTTGCCGAAATAATGTGCATTGCSGTCTSCAGTTTTACTCTCAAGCCATACGCCAAAACGGGAAACCTTCTTTTCCAAACTCCAAAACATCTTTCGATCACGTTTCCTGTTCGCATATGGGACTTATTGTATAGCCTTTCGGCTCTTGTTGCAGGATTAACTAAAAGGGCTAACAAATAGGATCTAAGACCATAGCCACTGTTACCCGTAATAAAAAAAAATCAAGAAAATATACTGAACGGTCCCTWATCGGGCGCTAATCAGCCAAAAAGTGCCGGTTAATATAATCGTTGTTTAGAATACATAAAACAAACGTGGTTAAGCGACGGTACAACACATTTTTMAAACTAAACGACGATTAAATTTTTAATCRCTGTTTAGTCAAACGGTGCAACCGGGCATTAGTATTTTTACCCAATACACTTGGCACTTAGTTTTGATGTTTTATGGAACTATTAAAAGAACGTCGCTCACACGACTGAAATACCTGAAGCGAATTTTGGCACCACCGATCGTCAGTAAGTCTCCACTGACGTGCTACTGACCCAAAGTTTAATCTTAAAAACAATGAAAAATTTTCGGCAACAGTAGCGCCCTTATGAGCTGTTTCCAGGCTATTTTTAGCTATATTTTCTCTGCTCCTACAAGACCTCCAAACAACACCCCCAGAGGAATTACGCCAATTGCGAAACACTCGGTACTTTTCTAACAAAACAGACAGTTGTGAAACATGCTAATGTAAATCCTGCTATTTAAACAAGTATTTGCAGTTACACTATAACCTGTTCATCACCGACCACCATTGCACATCAGTTGCAAAATTATTTGTCTTGAGCATTTGCTCTTCATCCTAGTACTCATTAATTTCTTCAAAATAACAACTAATTTTTAAAAAATTGTCAACCTTACCTAACGGGGCATAACATTCCTCCAGAAAAGCCTCTCCCAGAATAGCGCTGATCAACCCCAATATGGCTTGAGGAAATTCGGTGATTAAAAACAGAATCAACACAGCCAACAACATATTAGTGGTACGATCAGCCTGATTATCCTTGTAGTTCTGAACCGCTTTTGCTTTGTTCTTCTCCAGATTATCCAGCAGCTTATTGGCGTTCATCAGCTTCATTTTCCTTCGCCTGGCCTCCAGTAGCGCCGAAATAATTTTATACGACAGCAAAGTCAGCAGAAGACATGGAACGAATTTTACTAGTACAGTGTAGACCCAAATGCTCAAATTATAAGGATCATTTGGATACAAGATATAAATGGTTTCGTTGGTCAGTTCGGATAAATCGTATTTGAGTCGATGAGCTCTATCAACTATAGCTCCGCTCAAGTCGCACGTTTGCTGATAGGGGACTATTTCCAGGGTTGAAAGAATCGGAAAACACACCAGGGGACATAGAAAGTACGTTACTAAGATCACCATCAAAGTGCGGCTCTGGTTAGAACAAATCTTGTTGGTGTGTATCTGTGTAATGAACACGTACCTCCATACAGCAAGAATAATCGTTAAAGTACAGGCAATAAAGTGAAGCACCAAAGTGAAAAGCGAGTGGAATTTGTAAAACAGTGCCCAGCCATAGCTGAAGTGCCAGTAATGAAGTGGAATAGGCGGCAAGTTGCGATGGACTGTAAAAGGAATATATTGAAGCATCACCAGCAGGTCAGCTAGAGCGAGAGCAGTGAGAATATAATTCGTTGGCGAACGCATGTTTTTAGACCTCAGCACGCAAATGTTGAGAATATTGGCGATTGAGCCAAATATGCACACAGAAAGGCTGAGATATCCATGTAGGTATTCTCGGTACTGCCGTCCAAAGTCTCCAAAGTCACAGTATGTTGCGTTCTTCATTGCCTCCAGAATGTAGCTTCTCACATGTTAAAGGCGAAGAACATCGAAGACAATCTGGAAAGATAAAAGTATTTTAAGAGGAGGCCAGATAAGTGTTAGATCAATTTGGACGAGAGAGATTTTGATAAATGCCCTATTTGATAAAATACAGGTTGTCCCTGAAATGGCTGTAAAACGCTTAACCACAAATTCCTTATTAAAAAAATATTATTTATTTAAATTATTAAACATTTCTATACGCCTATATCGATTTTCACAAATTTTGAAATCAACAATTGCTACGTACGCAAAATTGACGTGTTTTCACATCAGCGTATATTATACCGGGTGTTAATTTGAAAACTTGCCACCCTTAATACATTTCTTGCAGTTAGAAATATGGAAAATCGGAAAGACCCGTAAGTTTTATTTGTAAGGGAGACACTTTAAATGAGTATTTTTAGCCTCCTTTTTTCAACCCCCTAGGACAACTAGTTGTCACCCTTAGAATCTTAAATGGGAAGAAGGGTCAAATGGCACATCGTTTTAAAGGGCGTTGAATTCTATTTACACTAGTTATTACCTTGTTGCTTTTTGTCCAACGTTTTTCGAATAATCGCGTCTCAAAATTACAGAAACAATTAAACTTGTCTGCATTGAGATTTTAGTTTTCCGGTTAGTGGGGAAACAAAAATTATTTCATTGGGTCTCCTTAAAGTACAAATGATTCAGTTACACCGTTAAAATCGTTGAATAACAGGGAGAAAATCGAGTGTAAACAAATAATTTCATATTTATTGATTATTTACAATAAAACCCATGGGATCTACTTACGCATTATCGTATAAATTGTTCAAAATGTTGTCTATTTTCGTGTATACAATAATAGAGTTTATTTTCGAACCCTCCCTAACATTGATAAGATATTGCCGGATAGATCGATTAGCAGAAAGAGACCATTTGAATGGCCTCCAAGGTCTCCGGATTGAACATCCTTAGACTTTTTTATTTGGGGACATCTTAAGTCCATTGTTCACAAAATAGAACCTGCTGATATTGATGATCTTAAAACGCGAATTGCAGCAGAATGCCGGTCAAATCCCGATCAAGTTTCCCGAAATGTTAGAGAAAAGTTCAAAAACAGACCTTGTTATTATTTGCAGGAAAATGGAAACACTTGAACAATATATACGATAGAGTGCGTAAGTAATTGTAGAAATTGCTCTTCCGCAAATAAAAAGTTATTTTTGTCGATGTAAAATAATCAATTAATTAGAAATAATGTCAAAATCAAAAATATGAAATCAACGTTTAAACTAGATTTTCTGCCTGTTGTTCAAGTAGACATACACAATTGTTTTTGTGTAAACCCTAACCTGAAAACCAATATCTGAATGCAAGTTTAATTGTTTGTTCTGTAATTTTAAAACGCAATTATTCGCAAACCTCTAAACAAAAAGCAAGAAAGTAATAACTAATGTAAAGAGAATTGAACGCCCTTTAAAACGATGTGCCACTTGACCCCCCTTCCCATTTAAGATTCTAAACAAGGAGGCCAAAAATATTAATTTAAAGTGTCCCCCAAAATTGAGGGTCTTTCCGTTTTTTCATATTTTCAACTGCATGAAAAATTATGGGTGGTAACTTTTCAAATTGACACCCTGTATATATAGCGGAAATATTAAAAATGATGTTCGTAATTTTGTTATCCTTCATACAAATAATGTTTGGGTTTTTCCGCTGCTAGCTGATTTCTTTTCGAATTTTTCACACAGTTTCTATACAAAAAATTAATTACAATACCTTGCAGACTAGCATTGTGAAAAAAAATTACACACTCGTTTTTGTTTGTAAATGTATTGCATTGCTACTGAGAAGCAATAATTAAAGAAATTATTTCGTACATTTGAGAAACCGATAGTTTTTACAATTTTCAGGATATATTGAAATTGAACCGGAGTTTACCGAATACTTGGTGTTTTTATTTCTCTAAAACGGATCGTTATTCTATATAAAATTGACATGCTTCTAGCTTCAAGTATGTAAATTATGCAAAGGAAATGGAGGAACGAGTGTAGAAGTTCATGCCAACAAATATCGAGACCGCAGAATTCCAAATCATTAAACATTCGTGAATGTTCGTAAAATGTTTTAATGTAACATGTAAATAGATGGATCAGAGAGAATTGGGCACCAAGATCACCCGATTTGAAGCCACTAGAGATTTTTCTTTGGGGCTCTTTTAAATAAAAACTTTATGCTTTTCCCGTAGTTTCAGAAGCCGAGTTACTGTCGCTAAACAAGCCCGACACGATGCCCAAAGTACAGTTMAATTTTTTGAAAAAAGGAATTATGTGTTSGGAAAACAAGATTTTGAAYATTTGATAAAATAATTAAATTAGATCAGTTATGCAGAATTAATACTTTTTTTTTACATTTTACAATTTACAATTCACAATTTACAAAATTTTCATTCAATCACATGCTTGATACATATTGGATGAAAGAAGAGTCGCTTGGAATCCACTATCAATGTATTCAATATACGACGCATTTCGGTTATACAACACATAATCATCTTCAGGTAACAATCGACATAAACAATTTTCAAATAATTTTAACTCAAGTTTMAAAATTTGACTTGCTACGTTTTCTAAATTGAAYTGTTATTWTSTAAAAATGTATTGAAATGTTCATGTATGAACAAAACTGGTCTGATTAGACACTTTATGTMKATATTTGGGTGATTTTTGGTTATTTTGTGTTAATCCTTTGATACTGTTTAAATATTTAAAAAATCAGAATTAGTGAATTAGCTAGGGAATTGATAACGGAAGTGAAATTATGCCCTAAATTAAACGGTTCTTGTTTCTCCTGAGGGATAGCAAAGTGTTTGCAAAATTTGAGTGGTTTTCACTAAGCTCTTCAACATTAAACAGTCAGGTTTTCCGCAGTAACTTTACAAATTCAATYTGCTTCAAAAGGCTWGAAAATCAAGATGTCAACAMTAGCGTTTTTTTGTTGTAAATCATTTKTTTGCTGTATTCAAATGTTAAAATAGCGCAGCCTCCATAGCAAAATGCCTAAAGGTAGGTGGAACTTGTTTATTATTTTGTAATATTGTCACCAAGTTAAAGGCACAGAAGTGCTAAATGAAATAAATGAAGTTTAGATCTACCGGCCCATTCTAACAAACAAATTGATTCGATTGAATTTAGAGGATGATAGTCCTTTGACACATTTACATGCAATGAAATTTTCATTTATTTTTCATATACACACACAGAAAGACATTTAAACAATTAAGAAAAGGAGCCTCTGTGGGCAAAACATTACATTCTTTCTAAAATTTGGGTATTCGGCCTTAAATACACTGGACATTTTTGCCTGAGAATATTTTGCTAGGAAACTCGCCTATTCGGTATTACTAATATTAATTTCTTAACTATATTTTTTAAAAAGGTTGCACACTCTCTGAGTGCGATCTCGTTTCACTCTCAGGGTGGAATAGTTTTTAGAGCTACTTCTTTGGGCTTTTTAGGGGTTTTCGAACTTTTTAAATATCTTCATATTTAACTAAGCCACGTGCAAAATAGTGGAGGTATGCTCAAATGGAACAGTAAAACGGTCGCCAACATTAGTAGTTACAGGTTAAAGAGTTTTACGCTTGCCAATATTACAAATTTTCTTATAGGCAGTGAATGTGTCGATAATACACTTTGCAGACAATCTCATGTTCCATGTTGAAAATCAGTCAATGGACGTAAACTATCAAAATCTTTTGTTGGGAAAATCGTCATTTTGGCCTTCAAATTATCATACCTTCCAAGTTTTTCAACCGATTGCAATTTTCCGAGATGCGCTTTTTACAGAAAATCGTACGATTTTCAACAACTTTCAAAATTTCCAAATCGGCTCTATATTATCAGAGTTATGCAGAAAATTTCTATATACAAAAATATGTTTTCCTAACAAAATTGCAAACGTAATCCATAAATAAAATATTGATTGATTTGCTTTGAAAAATCGTGTCTTCGACCTTCAAACTCTTATGACTCAATTTTCTAAACCGATTTGATTCTTGAAAAATACGTCACTCGTTTTAGAACGAATTTTTAATGATCCAAAGCGGGCCCGTATTAATAGAGTCACTTATTTATTCATACTGAAGGTAATCTGATGCACCATATACGTACAAGGTAGATTAGGTAAAAGTAAAGTAGGCTTTCATTAAAAACCTTTGTTCACAGATGTTTCCTAACAGATATATCGGGTATCAAAGTTTCACAAGAAGATTAGTATTTTGATGATAATCTTGAAATCATTTATTTAATCTTCTTTAAACAGGTGCACTAAAATATGTTTTTATGACTAAGTTTCCAAAAGGAATCTGATATAATTTTTGGCTCGGTTTAAAAGTGGATTTACTAAAAATTGATTTTAGACTTGGTCAGTTTTAGCTTTAAGCCCAGGCGTTGCACCAAGACAACCGGAGGACTAACTAATCATTGCAACCAGTACTGGGTTTTCTTCCTGGTTAAGAAAATTTTTCACACTTTCTTCAACTGGCTGTTGGAATCTTTTTGCCAAAATCCGAAATTTTTACATAAAATTCGTTGGACGTAGCATATTTTATTGAAGCAACATTTTTAATCGACATAACTGTAACGTTTTAGATCAGAAAAACCTTAGCGAAACTCGTGGCCAACATTTTTATTTATTTATTGGATGAGTCTATTAATTGAGCAAATTAGAGAAGTCTGCATGGACATGGACTGTTACAAAATAGACAACGATAGATCGAGAAATGGCCGGAATTAATTTGATCGCAAATAGATCATGCAAGTGTCTGAAGTTGCCACCTAATTTAAATTAACTTAATTTTATGAGTTTATGTTAGAAAACGACCAAGCGCCAAGTCTTCTAATAAAAGTTTACTTATTTTTGTTGTCCAGAAATCACAACTTAATTTTTCACTCAGGCACTGATATTGATTAGATCTAACGACCGTTCTGTGAATCTGAATATTGTACAAGTGTATTTTCCAACAAGCGAAGCGTCAGGCGAAGAGGTCGAAAAATGCTATTCACAATTAGAACCGATAGAATATAATTCGAAAGTAAATTGAACTGTTTGCACGCTTTCCAGTATTCGGTAATAATTTTCATAAAAATATATTACAAAACCACATCGAAACAAAGCACAGAAAGCAACATTATTTTATTATATTAAAAAAGTTCTACATTGGAAAATTTACTCATCATGGTTTGCATGCTTTCAGTTTTCGATTTGACAACAACTGGGGCCAAAATATACAGAGAATCCGCATCGTTTTTTGGATTTTTCGGGTTTCTGCAACATTTTTCAGAAGCTGCTTGGTGATCCGCAGCTATCCCATTATAAGTCGAAGAGTTTTCACCAATAATGAGACCCGATATTGAAGATGTTGGAGTTGTAAGACTCGATGAAGATAGTTTGCTTTTCTTGGAATCTTTTTCCTGAAATTTGCTTTGATTGTTTTTTGTTGCTACCTTTCGAGTTTTGGATTCATACATTTTTATTCTCAAGTTCAAATGTGATTTAACTGTTAATTGGTATTATACTCTTTTCCTTCCAGGGTTTCAGTCAAAGTGTGACATAAACGATACAAAAATTTTTATTTCACACTTTGACCGAAATCCAGGAAGGAAAAGAATATAATAACAATTACATGTAGTCCGGAAAAAAAATTGTTATTTGGTTTGTAGTTTCAGCTCCCTTTTTTGCAAGAGGTATATATTTCTAAAAAAACCATCTCTTTTAAGGTGAGATTACACATTCCGCTTCCTTCCTGCCTTTTTTGTTGTTTATGTAAAATTAGTTTTTTTAAATAACTTTAATATTTTGTGTCTTAAAGAGTCTCACACAGATTATTACCTGTTTTTGTATTAATTGATTATTAGTGATGTTTTTCAATTGTAAGTAAACAGTCGGTATTAATTCGCGAAACCTTTGGTCGCTCGAAATTATATCTAAACTGCTCTAAACTTTAGAACTCGACAAATGAAGACTGCTTGGAGCTATTTGATTTCTGATTGTCGCTTTATTTACTACAATTCTTTTGCGGTTCTACAGTTTGGTAAGTCTGCAGTCCAAGTTTCTACTGGGTGACAAATGAAACAATGCAGAATTAGTGAGAGTTCCGCGTATTCTCAATTGGACAAAAAACAATTTTTGGAATTTAAACTCTAGAAGCATTATGAAAATTTTGAATTTTTAGCCCATATCGTTTATTTATCGAGTGGTCTTAAAAAAAATTGCTTTTTGGTTTTGAAGTGATATTTTTTTTCTCTTGGGCCGATTTTAAGAATCTGAGGTTTATGCTGAAGCTAAAGTTTCAAGTGGACTGGAGAAAATAATAATTCAATATACCGGGTTGCACGAATGAACGAAATATTTGAAAATAAACTTTACTTAGTTGAATATCTTCCAGAATCACAGATTTCGGGAGCAATTCTGGTTTGCGCATTTTTTTTCTAAATTCCGTTATATCGATAGTCACCTCAACGTGAGCTCGAGGTATATCGTGAAACTCGAATCAATAGCAGAAAAGTTATCGCTGCGAAACCAAATTATTTTCTGAGACCACCCTGCAGATTGAAAAGGTGACCGAAAAAGCAAAAACCATTAAGAGCTATTTGGGTATATTTTTAAACTTTTGGCGATCAGAACTAAAAAAGGAATTTTTTTGTATGTACAACTAGCGGCATACCGAACTTTCCGAAATTTTGCATTTTTTCATTTGCCACTCTGTAGAAAATTTGGTCCCCAATCTGGTCTAACAGAGTACTGGGGAAACAGGAACTGGGACTCAATAGCGCATCAATCAGAAGCTAAATCGCTTGAAGCAATCAGAATTTATCCAGTTCCAAAGTTATGGAAAATTTGGCTGTGGAACGTTCATTTTTTGAGGAGTTTAGCTACTCAACTCAATTCATTTGACCATTAGTCTGTTCAGCTTTTAGAAGGTTCCCAACTGTTTGAAGGTAAACAAATAAAGCTTATGAGAGTATCTACTAAACACAAAAAATCACTTTTTAACTTTAGTCCTCACTGGATTTATTAATTTTTAAAACACTTGAAAACTTAACTCTCTGGCTTCATCGGTACTAAGCAATAAAGAAGAAATTGAAAGCCCTTTTTATTAACTCCAAATTGATTGTGAGGAATTAACTATCTCACTACATTTTATGGTTCTTCTTTATGCCCTTTATGAATTTGATGTCTTATTTTTTCAAAATCTCCTGCCATTTCCAAAGTTCAAGCCACGACAAAAAGACTATTGATAAAGAATTTAGCCGAAACGTGCACCTGATTTGATGCGCAAACAGATGATGGGGAAATTTGTTTGAGAACATTCTCCCAAACCTTAACTGAAAATTATTATCAACAGCCCGAAATTGATAGAGCATGCGGGTTTCCTTTCACATCAAAAGTGATTATTTTCCCTCCGTTTCCCGATAGCTTCTTTGAAAATCGAAAAACAATTGCCCTGGCTCAATGCTGTTCTCATACATGTTTAGATAATGTTTTTCCCAGGGAAGAACATACGTCTCTGCTGTATTTTCATTTTGCTTTATGTGCCAAGGTTCAGTCCATAAGCAGCTCGAGTTTAAGTTTATGTACCGCAATCAATGCGAAGAAAGCCAGGATTATGTGAAACTAAATATGATGGAGGAAATAAGAATTAATTTGCATATGAAATGGGAATTGTGCACAGTTTACTTCTTTAGCTTATGTAAAATCCCACGATATAGTTATGCAAATGCGGAAATGCTCCAAATTTATCTCGTAGTCTATTAATATTTTTATTTTCGGCGCAAAAGAATTGCAGCAATTTCGTTGCCGAAAGAAAAGAAAAAAAGTTCTTGAAGTATTGAGCTGGTGGAACAGATGAGCTGGCAGGTAAGCATTTATACCTCGAGTTTATCTGCTGGTTTTACCGGATGGTCTGAGATAGAATGCAGCAGATTTCCGAAACACTCGAACATACAGTTGCACCCTTTTTCCTTGCAAAAGCATTTTGTTCGATGGGCTAAAAACGAAGATCATCAGTTTAGAATCAACTGAAAAACCTCACGGTACATTTAGATGAACTCAATGTTTGTGGAGAAGGAATCGATGAAGCTGCCTTAGAAACATTGTCGGCTTCCTCAGGTGGTTTGCATCGAGCCTTGGAGTTTCTAACAAGCATGGGCCTCACGTTTCCAACTGTTATTGTGCTCGGGATGCTGCTTTCCGGTTCCGACCTAAATTGTTCTGCAAATATGAAGTTTTTGGTAGCAAAATTAACGACAATTGTATGTCTTTACCAAACAACATAGCTGCAGATATCGTATCTTGAGAGTCAGCGTTCGAATCTGCAATTGTTTGCTGAATTAACTAAATTATGATTGATTCATTCTATTACCGATATAAGAGTACACCATTGGCCCTGCTCCATCCAACATAATAGAAACTCGACGGTTTTCGTTTTGGGGAGAGCTGTCGACGTCATTATCTATTTTCCGCGCATCATCTATCGATTAGAATGCATGAAATTTCACATTATGTGGCGAATTGCGAGATTTTCAAATAGAAACTCACCGCTGTCCTGATTTTGAGAAGCTGGACTACCCGTGCTTGGTGTTTCCGCATAATCTTTGAACAAGTTCGTCAAATTTAAATTGAACTTGCTATTTTGCTCTGTTGTGGTCACGCACGGACTTAGTTTTGCTCGATTTTCATCTACGTTTGGTTGCCCAATTTCGTAATTTTCTTGCTTGAAATGTATTTTAATTCATTGCACTGGCAGGCAGTGGCATATTGTTTTGAAGGAAGCTTAAGCCAACGTAAGCTCCTTAAAAATAATACTAAATATTGAACGTCGGGTGAATTCTCCCTGGCTTTCAACGATGCAGAACTGTGAGTTGAAAGTTCGTTTAAGTCGTTTCTATATGCTTGATTTAATGTCAATCAAGTGAAAAATTAAAGCACAATAGAGTGAATTACAATAGAACTGTAATTTTTGATAAAAATCTGACTTAAGTAAAAATATATAGTCGAACCCCATTGCAAAATCTCAATTATTTGTTTATTTACCTGTGAAGAGTGTGCTTCAATTATTTGGAGGGATTGCCTTTTGAAGCTGTTCATTTATTTCAAYCACTCAATTTACCCGCTTTAGTCAGTTATATGAAAGAGGCGACTACTTCTATTAAATTAAAATTATGTGCAATCGTWCAAAATTAGMTAATGATCCAGCGTTGATCTAATATGCAAGAAATTTTCAATAATTTTCAGCAGAACAAGCAATAATTAGCAGAGCGTTACACAAATAAATTGATTAAGAGCAAAACATTTAATTTTCTTCAATTTTCTTCAGGTTTCTTAGTCCACCTGCCTCTATTTGGAGCATTACGTGAAGTATATGTAATTATCCAAAGTTTCTTTAGGATTTCATTAAAATACCCCCACTGAATATGGACGCTTACGAATTTACAGAACCAGCTTTAAAAAACTGGTCAATTTTCATATGTAGTTGTTGGAATTGGGAAGCGACAATAACTTTGACAATAACCAACGAGCCGACTAATCTGGCTTCAATCAATCCTGTGGAAATTACAGTTATGATAAGAGATACCAATTTATAACCGAATCTGACGGCAAAATCGGCGAAAATTTCGACCAAACATCATCATCCTTGAGTCCTTTAAGGTCTCTTCACGTTTCCCTGTCTTGGGCTGTTTGTTTCTCTCGCCCTTATGTTAAAGATGTGAGAGTTGCGAGATTTTCGCTCCGTCTTCTTATCTCACTGACACCTACAATGTCCCATTGACTGACCCCCCGAGAGATCGTAAAAAATCAAATTAATTTGATCAATCGTAATAAATCAATTAAAAGATTGTTTCAGAACCAATAATTTATATTTCCCCAGTTTTTGCCAAGTTTCTTAGCTCAGCTGCCCATATTTTAAGCAATTAATAAAATATCATGCTATTTTCCCAACTTTTTCCAAAATTTCATTGAAATAACCCAAGAAAATCTGGGTGGTTACATATCCACAAAATCAGTTTTTAAAAAAGTTGTCAATTTTCATATGTATCACTTGTAATTGGAAAGCGACAATTATTTTTAATAAAATCAATGAAAAGTAATCTGGCTTCAATCAGCGCTCTAAGAATTACAGTTGACTGGAAAGAAACTAATTTATAATAAAATTCCAATGCAAAATCAGAAATGAACATATTGCCTTATAAACTTGTTCATAAAAGAGACGACTACTGCTATCAACTGAAAATTATTTGCCTATTGGTCAAAATTAGCCACTAAAGGAAATCACTGATAGTCTAATTTGCAAGAAATTTTGTAAGTTAAACAAACCTTTTCCTTATCAAAGTCATCGCATCGATTTGGATATATTGACCTGTATTCAAAGTTTTCATGCACCACATTATTTGGACTTGCATGGGCATTTGGGCAAGAACAGCATCCTTGTGAAGGCTGATTTTTGCGTTCCGGGCACTTAGCTTCTTTCGGTCCTAAAAAGTGGCAATTTAACGCTTATCTCATACGCAGCTTGAAGACATTGCAAGTACCTAAAGCTGCAAACCCTCTGGGTTTTAAGTTAAACCGATCAATCACAACTACAGACTTGTCAATAATGTCCCGAATGAATCCACTTGGAGTTTCCACAATTACTTCCCGATCTGATAAAGTTTCAATATCTGCTTTATTCTCAGTTGTAAGCTCATCAGAACGTTCTTCTGGGCATTCAAGTTCTTCAATTTTCGGTTTAGTTAGAAGTCGCCTTATAGTGCAACATGTTGCATTCGTTTCGTCAGTTTTGCTGAAAATATTGGCAGCAGTAGGCTCGTTTTGAACTTCTGGTGCGTTTTTCTGGCCGGCAAAGACTTGTGTAGAACATGTCGGGTTGTTTGAACTAGAGCTTCCTTGGGGTCTCTTATTCGTGCAAATTAAATAAATGCATCTCTCACTACCACTAATTTTCCTTGCTTGCACATTTTTAAGTTCCTTCTCACTTGCTGCATCACCTACTAATCTTTCGTGAATGGTTTTACTCTTAGTAGAACTTTTACCGCTGGGACATTTAAGATTTATTGGACTGCAGCTGCCTTTTTTACTTGAAGGAACTTTCTGATTAAAGCTAGATGTCATTCCTGAAGGAACTGATTCAGCAGGCTGGTGTTGAGAAGAGATTCGACTGGATGGACAGGCCGCAGTTTTATTTAAAGATATGCATCGGACTGGATGGTCATGTTCAAGCTTTTCCGAGGCTCTTTTATAACAACCAAATTTGTTGCATGGTGAACCCTTTAAAGAGGACAAGTCTTTGCCAACTGCTGATCGCACAGTTTTATCGCTACGTAAAACTGATTTCCTATCAATTAATATGGAGGAATCCTTTCCACTTAGAATACTTTCTATGACTTTGGGATTTTCCAATAGGTCTGAAATTAGATTGGCACTTGCAAGAGTTTCGAAATCAGACACTGTAGCTTCTATCACTTTTAGCTCCTTATTTAACTGCGGTTCATTAAACGAGCTATTATATGCAGGCAGCTTCATGCCAGAAATCAGATGCGCCACTACGGAAGTGGCATAACGTGTAGCTGATTCACTAGTTGTTTGAGTTGACTTGGACCTCAGCTCGACGTGATTGCAACTTTTCCTTTCAATGTTCCCAGATAAATCATTTCCTACCTTTGTAGGTTGTATCTCACTTTCAGCATATTCGTTCCCAGTTTCGCGTGATTTGGATTTTTCATCATCAATAATATCGATGAAGGTTTGCTGACTAAACTCCTGATTGTCAGATTCAACAATTTTAATCCATTTCTCATCTACAGAACAGCATTTTTCAATATCTGTAAGACAATTACAAATGAGTAACTTAAAATCTGGACTTTCCCCATAGTGAACTTTTATGTACCTTTTTGCTCCCTTGTTGAATGCTCTTCGATCAGTGGAACACGATCAGTCGATATACCGATTTGCCGATATTCAGGGACAAGATCTTTGATTGGATCGGTTCCCCGACTTTTCGCAGGCAGCAGGACTCGTTTTAATTTGCCCGATCCGCAACTATTCATACATGTAGAAAATACTTCTGAACTTTGTTCATTTTCATTTTTAGTAATTGTTTGCACTTTTGATGGAGGCATGATTACTTCAGAATCTTCAGCTTTAGAAATGATGGAATTAATCTCAACGCCACAAGCGCTTGGGATGTTGACACCAGAAGAATCAGAGTGGACTCTTGAAATGCATCGCTTTTCAACTTTCTTCTCCTTTAACACGCATGAGTCGAGTGTACAAAAATGTTTCTTTGCCTTCAGCTCCGCTGAAGCACTCTCTTCTTTATCTTCTTCCTCTGTGGTGAGTGGGCATGTGATTCTTCCAGTGGCTGACTCAGATTTAGTTTTCGAGGAAACCTTCTCACCACTCAATTTTCCCTTGTATGATACTTTTGGGACATTGCTGCAACTTGGTATATTAGCAGACTTTGAACTAGTTGGAATATTTTCAATTGAAGATGTTGGCAGCGAAATCGCTACTGACTGAGATTGAACTAGTTTAGAAGATGCAGATTTTCCCGGTTGAAGGAGAAAATCGCCGAAGCTCGAGCATTCAGTTTTACCAATGTCGTCGCAGCCACAGTGCTGACTAGTTTTACACATTATTTTACTATGACTCAGTGTAGGTATGTTAGCTGTTTTCAATTTGTTAATTTTGCAAGATGTCGATTTCATTTCTTCAGCCATTTTTGTGCCAATTCTTTTCACGGATGGGCACTGAAGCTTTAAAGTTGAATTTAGGGAGCGTGTTTGCTGCGTTTCAACAACTAGCTGTGACTCCCCGATGATATTACTCGATCTCTGAACATCATCATCCATTTGCAAGTCCTTCTGAGTTATTATCTGACTTTTTGTAGCAGTTTCTTTATGTTTGCATATGCATGTTGTATTATTGGCACTGTAGTTTTTTATTTCGTGCTTTTTCTGAGTCTGGACTCGGCTGTTTAAAGACATGGGCAACTGCGCATTTTCTGAGCAGGTTTCATGGCACATTTTGCTCTTCCTTTGCCTTCCGAGTTGGATTTTTAACTCTTTTGCTGGACAGTTGAGGATCGATTCATGTTCAACTTCCTGATATGATTCAGTGCAGGCGTCCGATGTATCTGGTTGTTTAGCTATTTTTGAGCATAGCCGGCTAAGGATACATTTTCGCTTTGGTTTTTTCTGAGGAATTTTGGCAGGTGAGGAACGAATGCTGTGACAACATGATTTTTTTATAGGTATTCCAGATTCTCTTTTAACTCTTAGATTTGTAAGTGAGATTTCCTCCTCAATTTCTTTTTTCCTGTCAACGTTTCTACAACAACCAAGTTTGCACTGTATTGAGCGTGCCGTGGTGGATTTTTCAAAGGTTGGTTCGCAAGCAGCCACTACGGGAGTGTTTTGGAGTAAAGATGAGAACAAACGCGAATTAAACATGTCTTACCTCCTACATTTGCGTTTTTGCTCTTTGGCTTTGTTAGTTCTGAATCTCCAGTATCCACTGATTTGTGGAACATCTTTATGGATGGAAACTCACAACTTACACTAACACTTTCAGCTTGTCTTAAAACAACGTTCTCCTCTTGTCCTTCTATGCCAAACTCACTATGATCACGACAGCAGAAATCTGGTAAGTCATCAACTGAAAATGAGGTTTCACTACGATTGTGTTCAAACTGGCAGGAAGAAACTTCTGCTTTATGACTATTGAAAATATTTTCGTGTTGCGTTTTTGATGATTGCAAACAGCCACATTTCTCAAGCTTTGTGTTATTTGCTTCCTTCTCAGAAATCGAACGTGGTATTGGTCCTTTGGGTTGAACCATTTTGGCCGGTTGCAGTTTGGGACATATTTCTGAAGACTTTTTGAAAACTGGTTGCTTATTGCTATTTAAGGTTTTCTTTCTATAACCAGGGCATGGGTTTCGGCATTTGAGCACGTTATTATTTACTGTTTTTTGCACTGAGAGCTTTCCGAAATTGTGAGAGGATTTCAGACACGCTGACGGAATGCTCTTCTTTTTTCCTACAGGTTTTCTGGGCAATTTTTCGTTTCGCTAAAACAATTTAGCGTTGTTTTCTGGTTAATCGATATTAACGAAAGATTTAAAAAAAAATTGCTACCTGAATATTTGGACATTCAATTTCGCTAAGGGTTTCAGTTGAAGAGTTGTCTTTGGTCCATTGCGTACAATTCTCACTGCGTTCATTATCTACAGAAACATTATGAGAACTAACTGAATCAAGTCTATGACGCCGCTGTTCTATAAAACTATGAAATTTTCATATATATTTTTTACATCAGACAAATTATTAATTTCTTTAGACGAAAGCTCTAAGCCTTTTAGGAACTAAAAAAGCTTATAACTTTGAACTTGAATAGGAAAACTTAGCACCCAGAAAGGGAAGAGTATTGCTGCGATCAATCCTGCGGTAATTGCTATAGAGAATATTATGAACAACATTAGTGAGGTAAATGTACTAAGTTTACTAATTTCTCATTATCAGGAACGTCGGAAATTTAACCCAAGTTTCGCCCTTTATAGGCATGTCTTGTCAGGAAAGGGCAATGAAGACGTGGCTGAAGGCGGAATTATTCTGATCAAAAGCCAAGAAAAAACCAATGATGCCTCTTTAACTTTTTAATGTCTTTTTGTGCCTAAGGTTTGTATTTAATTTATAAGCCACAGTTATATTTGTCTCAACGTGATCAATACAAGTTCGCAAACAGAAGACAGTTTTCCCAAACAAAAATAAACTTAACAAATATAAATATTGGAGTTACTTCAGAAAGAAAAAAATACAAAAAATTGTATTGCAATTCAAGATTCAGTCATTAACCTACATAAGGATATTTCTTACATGTTGCTTTCTGTTGCTTTAATTCTGCCTTTGCTAGATTTGCAACTTTTTTTGGCGGTATAGCAACTACAAACACCATTTTATTGAACAGATTCAAATTAAAAAATCATTCGTATGAATAATTATTTAAGAAAATACCTAGAGCTGAAACAGCTTCAGCACGTCTTCGTTTAGTTCCTGAGCAAATAGGTCCATATCGATTGGAACTGTTAATATTCGTTAAACCGTCAGATCTGGATTTGCTGACCACGTTATAGTTACATTTTTGCATCACATTTACTATTATGGGGTCGTGAATTATTTGCGAAAGTTCTCCTAATTCGGTAATTTGGTTTTTGCCAGTCCTGGAAAAATGCGAGCTAAAAAGCCGCGGAAATCCATAACCACATGTTTAAGAACTTACTCTTTCTTTGGAAAAATATACGGGTACACTTTGGAATAGTCTAAATTGATAAACTCCTCATTTGCGGCAACAGCTACATAAATATCGCCATTTCGAAATGCTCGAGGATCCTTAATGGCATCGCCAGTAGGTGTAAATAAACTAATTACCAAGGACAAACAATTAGTCTGATTTCCAATTATTTTACAACAAAATCGAATTTAGTATTAAAATGTCCTAATCTATTAAGCTCTATGTTGGCGACAGTTCGACAGAAACTCATTACCTAAGGAAGTGAAGAAAATAGTTTGAAAGTCCCAACTCAAATAGCGTTGATTTTGAGCAATTGATTATAAGCTTTTTTCCCGTTGCCTATTTTTATTTTTTAGTTTTTATTATTGTTTTGTGTTATTATTACATTAGGCTTCGTCTTAGTTTAATCTCTAATTAATTGCTAACATTATTGAACTATTGACTTTCTCCTTGCTGCATCAAGATTACTATTTCTCGTCTTTTTTCCTCTCATATTAGTATTTTCTAGGATTATTGTCAATTTCCATTCAGATCATTTATAGAGTTTTCCGATTTTCATTCGTATGTAGATTTTGCTACGGCTTTTATTTGTTCCCAGATATGTAGTCATTTTTGCCTGGACTTTCTGAATTTTATTTTCCTCTCCAACCTTTTCTAAATATTTACTTTCTTGTGGTATTTTTGCTTACATATTTGGCATTTGTAGATGAAGAAGAAGAAATATTAGTTGACACTTGTATAATGTTGCAAATTGAAAAGATCACTGTGTTTGAGTTATATTTCGAACTTCTCATTTAGAGATTTAGGAATATCATTTAGGCTAATAATGAATTATGTTATCGACAAATTGGACCAAATAATAAATTTTGTTTTTGAACAAACCGCCATTTACCGATATTTTAATAAAAACAATTACAAAGTGTCCATTAAATTTATGAGATATTATAATGGGAACAACAGGCTGTATATCTCTAATCTTTGAGTTTTGAGCAATTGATTCTAGTCATCTTTCCCGCTGTCTATTTCCATTTTCCCAATTTTCCTTTCTTCTCTAATATAATTTAAATGTTTTTTCTAATTGGCCTGTCTAATTTACATTAGTCTTGTGTTTAAACTTTATTTAACTGTTTAACATTTGAGCTGTTTGACTTTCTTCTCTTCCTTCCTTGCAGATAAGTCTTTTCTGGGATTATTGTGAATTATACATTCAGATCATTGAGAGAGTTTTCAGTTATTCGTATGTAGATTTCCCCGCTGTTTTATTTGTTCCTTGGTTGTTCAGAAATGTGCGATAATTGACCTTTCAGCAAGTAAAAGATGCCTTCCATCAAAAAAACGAAACGATATGAACCAAAAACTTTTAGGTTGCTGTTATTTATTGCTGTATAAATTTTTTTTCCAATTTACTCCTAAGGTTTTTTTAATTGTAGTTAAGCTAATTCAATTCAACATTCTAATGGCTTCATTTGTAACTTCCCTGTATATATAACCTTTAGCTCTGAGGAAGACTAAATATATAGACAAAACGTAGACTTTCTCAAGAAAATAAAGAGTTTCTGTTCACTGTCCCAAACCCGCTAAACTTGATACCCCTATTTACTCCTAAGCTTCTAAAAATTGAAACTGGTAAGTTTTTGGTGTTTTTCGGCCGTCGTGAAATAGAATCTCTTCAGTCCTTCAGAGGCGGTTTGCTTGAAAGCTTACTGATGCGATTCCGCAAGCTGATGATTTCTCTGGGGCTACTTTTCCCGAACTTTTTCCCATTCTAAGCTGGTTCATAATTAATTTTGGGTCTCCGAATGGTTTAATTGCAGTGGTTAGTGGATAATGTGAATTTTACTAGACCCGGGTAACTCAGTGAGTTTTTAGGGGTTGGCGCAGTGCTGCGCAAATGGATTGGAGCGCCAACCCAACGCACTGGCGCGGTAACTCAGTTCTGTTGCTGCGAAAACCTAATCTTTATCCGATTTCAGACGTTTTAGAGGACTTACAGCTCCTCATTTTCTTTGGTTTGGAAAATAATCATAATTTTAATAGATTTAGTTTTCCATTCCCTTACTCAGGTGACCTTTTCTTTAGTTGTTTGCACAAAGTGATAAAACGTTACTCATAAGAAATATTGATAACCCTTTTTGAAGTTTGGCTGTTTTTCGGTTCCAAATCTTGCAAAGGTCTAATCCGCTTTTAATAAATGAGTTAAAACTCATTAACCGATAAGTTATAACTCATTAGCTCAGAGAGCGGCACAACTAACAAGCGCAACTCAACACAGTATTACCCAGGCCTAGATTTTACTCTCGGCAGTATTGGATTTGTATGATTTAGGACTTTGGTTGGAAATTTGGAGTCTTTTTGGAAAGGAATTATTCGTTTGTGTCTGTTTTAATTTTAAAGTTTATTTTTAATTTAATTAATTAATTTAATTTAATTTTTAAATGTTAAAGTTTGCTGAATTGATTGAGTAGGGAATATGGGGCTGCGCTACTCGTTCTTTTTTTGGCAATTTTGTCTCCGATGTGTTTAGTGAAAGTCAAGGTTTTGTCTAGTGTAATTAGTAAACATTTTGTGTTTAGACCAGGCTTTTTCCTTGCTACGGAGACAGATATTTTCAAGTTTCTTTGTGACCTGTTTGCGTTTTTTTTAAGTCAATTTAAATTTTCCATATTTCTGTTCAGTCTATTATTTTGCTCAGTTGTTTTGTAGCTTTTCGTGCATATATAAAAGGATTTGGCACGTTTCGAGAATGCAAGTATAGTAGGCATGGCGATTTTGATGCGGGTGTTGTTCGATATATCACCGGTGTGCTTGTTGTAAAGATTTGGAGATTCTTGTAGGACCCGCAATCGCAGATCCTTTGGTGGATAGTAGATTGTTTGGACGGACGTAGAATTTTCTCTCTTTCAGAAAGTTTTCCACAAATTGCACAAAACGAATTGACGAATTTTACACGCTGTCCAGTTTCCAGATTAGCCCTTCACGCCAGATTTTGTCAGAAGATTGCTCAATGTCCAGGAGAATAACCCCTGTAGAGGCTTTTCCCTGAAGTCCTAGTTTGGCTTCCTCCAAAAGTCAAAGTTCAGTAAGAGTATTATTGTAGCTGCTTTCCAGCTACTTGTAAATTATCTCAGTGCCAACTCACTATTAGTTAGTGTTAGTAGTTTTAGAAGGACATTTTCTGGGAGCAATTTACTCCCCTGTTCGCGATTTTGTCTATGCCTGGAGCAGTTTTTGCTTCTTATTATTTAATTTCAAATTTTAGTTTGTCCAGTGCGATAAGGGGGCAGGTAGTTTCGTCTGTGTCGAGAGCCTGTTGTGGCAGTTAATACTTGAGCCTCTCAAAATTTGATATTGTGTGTTCCATAGCTGAGGGAAAGTTTTGGAACTGCCGACTTTTCGGCATGTCCTGTCCTCTTCAATTCGCGTCCTAACCGATTTCTTTGTGGCTCCTATGTAAACATTTTCACAGGATTATGGGATTCTGTATATAGCTGCAGTCGCGAGGGAAGGTCTTCTGTCCTTAACCGTCCTTAAACACGCCTGAATCTTTGGGTCCCTGGGATCCTTCCAGATGTGTTCTTAACTCTGGGAATAAACGGCAGAAACTCCCTTTGAGTGGTTTCTCTGCTTTCACCACAGCCCACCCCTGCTGCTCTTCTTATGCCCATATGAGAAGATCCGTTCTGAAGGAAAGCTAAAGCAAGCCAAGCAAGGTGTTGTAGTTCCGCTGTTAGGCGCTGTGGACCAAATGTTTTCCCGAGTGTATTCGTGAGGAAACTTGTGAAGTTATCTGTCTGTGTAGGTGGCTTTTCAATATACCCGATGGTCCAATTGATTCCCTTTTCTAGGCACCAAAGCATCCAGGAAAGCCAACTGCTGGTTTTGCTCAACTTCACAACACAACAATAGTGAATTGTATCTCTGGATGCTGTTTCTTCTGGTAGTCGATTAACTTTTGCAGGTCTCCATATCCCGAATATTTCTTCAAATTGTTTGAAAAATACATTTGCTACAACCGGGCTGAGGCGGCCTCCCATGGCCACCCCTTTCTTTTGTTCGTAGAAGTCTCCATTCCGCAGGAAGCATTTTAGACAACCTTTCAGCAGATTTGTGGTACGTCCCTCTTCATCGTTGGATTTTTGGAATCCTTCTTGAACTTCGTGTAAGTACGTGGATTCACTACTTTTTCGATCTTCTGCTCAAATTCCTGTCTCCTCTCTATTGCATGCTACTGTTAAGAATAACAGTAGCATGGCCATTGCCGGCTTGAAGAACAACGATGTTTCTGCTCTTTCTTACTTCTTTGAGAACTTGTTTTTCTTCTACCCTTCGGTTGCTTGGCGCTAGTTGTCCTCTCCGAAGGATGCTCGTGAAGCAAAGTGATTTGGTGATCATTCTGATTTGCCCTGGTATTTCGGGATGGTGCGACAAAGACAAGCAGTTATCCAATGCAACGGCTAGTCGGTTCTCACTCTTGACTATTGCGCTTGTTCTTCGCAGCACTTCGATAAACTACGAGGTGTAATTGAAGAGTTTGTCTACAATTATTATTGTGTTGTGTATTAGACTTCGGGGATTCGACAAGTCATATAAGGCTGAGGTCAGCTAAATTGGAATTTAGTTACTGTAAGTCGAAACAAAAACTGAATTTTGTGTAACAATTTTAACAAAAGCAAACATTACTTTTGAATTCCTGCAGGAATATCCAGCCTCTGTGCGATTAGATTGAGAATCGCGTCCCATGAGCGTAAATCAGCATCAGTTAGGATGATCTTGCAAGGAGTTACTTCAGTTGTACCATTTGCAAGAACAAATATGATGATGTGGTCATTTTTTCCTTTTGGACTTTTGCCAATTTCTTCATCACAATTTACCCCCAGAGGCCTAATTGTTGATAAGAGTAAATTCTGTTTCTCTTTGGCAGTTTTATAACTGAAAATAATCAAATGTTTGACCAACTTTGCTCTTGATGCTTAGCTAGTCAATTACACTAACCAGTCCTTGGTCTGTTTAAGCTTTTCGGTCCCAAGAGCAACATACTTTCCATTAGACTCTAGAGACTCGAAACAGCGCACAAATTCTCGATTACTCAAGCAAACCAAATTTCTCACAGTTCCAAACGTGGGCTTTAAAACGCTTGTTATCAGAGTCAAAATTGCGGTCCATGATCTGGAAATTGTACCAAACCGAAGACATTCTCCATGCCACACTAGAGTCTCATTACCTGTACAGCCTTGAATTTACAACCAGAACACTCCCATTTCCATTAAAGTCTCCATTTTCCCAGACATAAATTCGTTTTATACCGATGGCGTAATTCGATTGAAATGAGGATGCTGAATTTTCCATTAATAATTTGGCTGCTAAATGCTGTTTTCATGACGAGTAATGATGTCGGGTTATTTGAAGCGAAAATTTCAATTACATGATTATTTTAATATAGTGACAAACGTGTCATAAATCTGAGCGATTTCATCGAAGCCATCAGATCAATTCACAGAACGTTCAAAAGCTTATTGAATGCTGATTAAACGATCAGATATGAATAATTCCGGTGTTTATCCAAAAAACAGTAGATTGTCCAGAGTTTCAATTTATTGTAATGGAGGCTGCTTTATAATTCGGGCACGCAATTGTGCAATTTAAAGTTTAAGGACGTTGAGCACAAATGTTGTGAGCATGCAAGGTGCAGGAAGAATCTAATATTTCATAAAATGTATTAATTTTTTATTCAAAATCCAGGCAGGTTTGCATGAACAACGTGTGTCTAAATTTCACTTTATTCAGTGCTGTCCCGCCTAACATGAGAACTCTCCTTAAAATGTGTAAAATTGTTCTAAATTATATTTTGATTTTATTATCATTGTTCATTGGCTATAAAATAAATCATGCTAAAAGTCGGTGAAATTACTAAAATGATAACGCACCAAAAATGGGGAGCGAGCGTTACTCCCTTTAGCATTTAAATGCATCGCTTTCTTATTAGGATATTAAAGGATATTGGACTTATTTGAACTTCATGAATGCTCTTATCCCACTACTGGCATAAACATCAATTGTACATCCTTTCCTGACTGTGTTTCATATGAAAATATATACCAGGCTTAAAGTAGCAACAACGCTACACATAGAAACTGATGATGGTGGAAAACACCGAAACGTATTTTAATTGATAAATAGACAATAAATGACTGAAGCCCAGGAATTGATTTTGATTTGGAATAAACATCAATTACAAATCCGATTAATGTGCAAATTACAAAATTCCGCAAACCACTACGTCCGAAATGGATATTAATTCGACAAACACATTTGCCTTAAAGTTTCTAATATGAGCTAAGCCTACAAGGGTAGTCATTAAAATATAATTTGCTACTCTTGTTTAAGAGTTGCTGGAAGCTTGAATTAACACTATGAGACGGCCGGGGTTGAAAGCAAACAGCGGTTTTGGCAACAAGGTTTGTCTTTACGTGTTTCAAGCTTGTACGGTCAGAAAAGTTTACTCAATAAAAAACGCATTTAACCTGTTAAATTTGCCACTTTCGTGTCCTTTCGAGATTGAAATGAACCTTTATTTATAAAATGCTCATGGCCGTTTTTTACTGTGTTTGTCATAATGTTTTAACGTTCTTACACCCGTCTGGAGTTGGATGAAAAGCTACTGCTGCGGAACTTATGATCATCTTGTTTAACTTTGTCAGGATCAGTCGTAAATCTTGGAACCCTATCGGTATATTGTATGTGCATTTGATTTATGTTGTGGCCTTCTCTGGGATGGTAATTTATGTAAACTTACTTAATATAACAGGGAAATTCATGCAAATACCGGATCAGGGTAATAAATCATTGATTATTAGCTGTTTTATGAAGTTATCATCAGATCTATCGTATTTTGCGACACTGCAAATAATGCACTTTTCATGAGCCTATAGATTTATTTTCTTTCATTATTATGTTATTATTAGTATTTACTTTCTTTCAGTTAATTGGTACCAAAATCTTTGCCTCTAAATAAGCACAGCCACTACCTATTCAACTAGTGGTTTTGTTAATATTTCATACAAAATTGCTTAACATAGTTAAATCATTTGGATTGTTAAATATTTTGTATTAAAAAACTAGAGCAGTTTATCAGCCTGTGACTTAAAATAGCTCTAAACAGGAGTAACAACAAGGGCGGATTCAGCTTTCAAGTTAGGGGAGGATCATGTAGTAGATATGAAGCCTGGACAGGCTTTAATTCAATTACAATAAAAAATTTCATTAAAAAACTATTGTATTATTATCGGTGGTAGTAATTTTAAACAAATAACAAAACCATTTTTCTTCTATTAGTATTTTTATGCGGCATTAGAAAGTGTCGGTGATAGTGCGTCTCCCTGCTTAATACCTGTGCTCACCTGAAACACACCTGAGAGGTCATCACCAATCTTTACTGTGCACTGAGAACCCTCAGCACACTCTCTGGCTACTCTGATTAGCTTAGGTGAGCTGCCACACTCAGTCTTTGTATGCCATATTTTGACCATTTTATGTCGTATGCCTGCTGGAAATCTATAAATAACTGGTGGAGGTCTTGATCAAATTCCCAGCTCTTTTGTAGCAATTGGCTAATGGTAAACAGTTGTTGATCTATTTGCTCTGAAACCGCACTGGGAGTCTCCCAATATTTATTAGAATAATTGCTTTATAGGCTACATTCATTAGTGCTATCACTCAGTAATTTTTGCAGACCCTTCTATCGTCTTTTTTGTGTATCGATATCATAATACTCTCCTTCCAGGCATCAGGGATAGCTTCTTTTTTCGATGAGATTTTAGTGAGGATGTGTAGCTGCTTCATCGCCACCATATTTAAAAAGCTCCGCTTTATTGTTTTTTTTATATTCTTTATTGCTCCTGTAATTTCCTCTTTAGAAGGGATCTGGGTTGTTCCGCAGCCAGCAGATCCAGTGCCTCCTCCACTTCACCAGTTCCTCCATTGAGCAGATGATGGAAGTAGTTTTTCCACGTTTGCAATACTTCTACTTTGTCAATTTTCAATTTCCTTTTTTAAGATTTTATAGGTCTTGGGTTTGAATCCTGCTTTTGTAGACCTTAATTTTTGGTAGGATGTTGTTGCGTTATTTTTCCCTTCTTCCAGTGCAATAATTCTCTGTCTTGCCATTCTCTCTCTTAACGGTTTTTTTCGTAGGGTTCATAGTCGCCTGAATCTTTCCCTGTTGTCGGCTGCGGGACATTTCGCATTTTGAGTATAGCAGTATTATTTCTCTTCTCCACAGCATGAGGGAACTCGTGCACAAACAAAGCCATGATTTCACAGCTCTTAATGAGAAACGCATATTCAATGTGTATCTTCTCTTTAGATCACTTTTGCACAACACGTCCAGCTGTTTTATGAAAATTGAGCAAAATGCTGATTGCTGAGGTCGTGTCAGGTCATCAATAAAAAACGGAAATCGAACTGTAAATGACACCTCCAATGGGCCGATCGAGAAAACAATTATACCTATCATTACGTTAATTCTGAAGTTGGCTGCCGTATGAAAGTGGCGAAAACCTCCATATCGCTTCAGGTTTTTTGGAAAAGGCGACTAAATGCGACAATTTGGTACGGGAAGTGCACAAAATACGTCGTCAGTCTATTTTCTACCAACGGAAAGATACAGTTTTCAATTCTGAATGGATCTTTATTGTTTATTCAGGGAGTGCGAGTTTTTTATGTTCAATGGAGAATGGGGCGCCAACTTTCAGAAAGCAGGTAAGAATGAATTCTAATCTATAAACCCTTAAGTTTAAAATGAGTTTAGCTTTTCGAGAAGCAATTGAAGTTAATGGCATTTTTATTTCTCTTTATTTGCTCTGTTCATTTCAAATAATTTAACTTTTGACTAAGTTTCTGTAATACTAAAAAATGTTTTTCTTTCTTTCCAGGTGGCACGTTGTAGCTTTCGGTAAGTTCGGCACTACTTTACCCCTGGTTGTCATGTAGGTGTAGAGCTTTTAGTCCCATATTATTGACTTGTATTTTATGATATTGCTGCATGCCATATTTATTGGGCCAAGGACGACGAGGGACATTCTGGATTCTGAGAGTTATGAAAATTTTGCATTTTCTTTCTATGAAATTTGTTTGAGCTCAGACATTACGCGTTATCGAATGAGGTTCTCTACAGAAGATTCTTTTGATATGTAAAACTATTAACTTTCTCAAGGAGGTCTTTCGAGGTCATTCCTTGAAACTTGTGAGTTTTCCAGGTTTTTAGGCCGTCGTAAATTGTGATTTCTTCCTGATGTTTAGCAAGCACGAGTGGCTCGCATCCTCAGAGGTGGCTTGCTTGAACGCTTACACTGAATCACATATGGACAGTGTAAGGGTTGAAGCAAGCCACCCCTGAGGATGCAAGCCACTCGTGCTTGCGAAATATCAGGAAGAAAGTACATTTTACGATGGCCTAAAAAGCCGAAAAACACACTAGCTTTATTAATTTTCTATTGTGAACTATACTTTTTATTGTCTGGGCGCGCAATTTCCGTCATTTGCAGGTTATTTCATCTTGAAATTACACCCTAAACTAAACTGTTCTTGAATTCTCAATTCGATATTGCAAATTAAAAATCTTTCAATTAAGTAAAACATTTTTACTGAATTTTCAAAAATTTACTTACCAGGTTTTCTAAAGTGGACTGATATTATCTAAATCGCCACAGTTAAAACACTCTAAATGGAATGGTGTTTTTCTTGGAAATTATCATGTTTTAGCTGTTCCGAATTTCGATAATAAAGTGTTTCGATAATAATGGTTAGTTAGTAGCACGAACAAAACTGGTTTGATTAGACACTTTATGTAGATATTGGGGTTATTTTTATTCAGTTTGGGTTATTGTGGGTTAACCGTTGATTCTTTGTAAGTAATATAAATAAATTCTCAAGTTTGAGAGTTTTCCGCTTGGCAATATTCAGAGCCCATTTCCTTCCAAAACTGTTGCAAATACAAATTTTCTTATAGACAGTGAATGTGTTGAGAATACACTTTGCAAACAATCTGATGTTCTAATTTGAAAATGCGTCAATTGAGGTAAAAATTCAAAGTAATTTGTTCGGAAAATCGTCTTTTCGACTTTCAAATCATCATAACTTCCAACTTTTTCCACCGATTGCAATTTCCCGAGATGCAGTTTTTATAGAAAATCGTACGCTTTTTAACCAATTTCAAAATCGGCCGATATTAACAGGATTGTGCAGAAAATGTCTAGCTACAGCAACATACAAATAGCTGTTTTTCCAAAAAAATTGAGACCTTCAATCAATAAAGACAACATTGATAACAATTATCTTAAAAAATCGTTTTTTCGAACTTCAAACTTTTGTGACTTTCAAGTTTATCAACTAAGTTCAATTTTGCATGACCCCCAACTGGATCCGCCGTTGAGTGACAAGTTAACCGATTTTCTAGAATTAAAATGAAATAA